GATGGGATAAACTGACCTTGACCTTATTTTCATGGTTCTATGGTCAGTGTTAATTTATCATGAGTAGCTCTTGTTTCTAAGATATTATAAGTAATATGTCAACAATATACCATTGCAAAAATGGTTGTATGTTGTGCATGTCTGTCTGATGGGATAAACTGACCTTGACCTTATTTTCATGGTTCTATGGTCATTGTTAATTTATCATGAGTAGCTCTGTTTCTAAGATATTATAAGTAATATGTCAACAATATACTATTGCAAAAATGGTTGTATGTTGTGCATGTCTGTCTGAAGGGATAAACAGACCTTGACCTTATTTTCATGGTTCTATGGTCAATGTTAATTTATCATGAGTAGCTCTGTTTCTAAGATATTATAAGTAATATGTCAGCAATATAATATTTCAAAAATGGTTGTATGTTGTGCATGTCTGTCTGATGGGATAAACTGACCTTGACCTTATTTTCATGGTTCTATGGTCAGTGTTAATTTATCATGAGTAGCTCTTGTTTCTAAGATATTATAAGTAATATGTCAACAATATACCATTGCAAAAATGGTTGTATGTTGTGTATGTCAGTCTGATGGGATAAACTGACCTTGACCTTATTTTCATGGTTCTATGGTCAGTGTTAATTTATCATGAGTAGCTCTTGTTTCTAAGATATTATAAGTAATATGTCAACAATATACCATTGCAAAAATGGTTGTATGTTGTGCATGTCTGTCTGATGGGATAAACTGACCTTGACCTTATTTTCATGGTTCTATCCCATAATGGTCAATGTTAATATATCATGAGTAGCTCTGTTTCTAAGATATTATAAGTAATATGTCAACAATATACAATTTCAAAAATGGTTGTATGTTGTGCATGTCTTTCTAATAGGATAAACTGACCTTGACCTTATTTTCATGGTTCTATGGTCAGTGTTAATTTATCATGAGTAGCTCTTGTTTCTAAGATATTATAAGTAATATGTCAACAATATACCTTTGCAAAAATGGTTGTATGTTGTGTATGTCAGTCTGATGGGATAAACTGACCTTGACCTTATTTTCATGGTTCTATGGTCAGTGTTAATTTATCATGAGTAGCTCTTGTTTCTAAGATATTATAAGTAATATGTCAACAATATACCATTGCAAAAATGGTTGTATGTTGTGCATGTCTGTCTGATGGGATAAACTGACCTTGACCTTATTTTCATGGTTCTATAGTCAGTGTTAATTTATCATGAGTAGCTCTGTTTCTAAGATATTGTAAGTAATATGTCAACAATATACTATTGCAAAAATGGTTGTATGTTGTGCATGTCTGTCTGAAGGGATAAACGGACCTTGACCTTATTTTCATGGTTCTATGGTCAATGTTAATTTATCATGAGTAGCTCTGTTTCTAAGATATTGTAAGTAATATGTCAACAATATACTATTGCAAAAATGGTTGTATGTTGTGCATGTCTGTCTGAAGGGATAAACGGACCTTGACCTTATTTTCATGGTTCTATGGTCAATGTTAATTTATCATGAGTAGCTCTGTTTCTAAGATATTGTAAGTAATATGTCAACAATATACTATTGCAAAAATGGTTGTATGTTGTGTATGTCAGTCTGATGGGATAAACGGACCTTGACATTATTTTCATGGATCAGGATTGTCTGGTGTTAGATTTAGCTGACACTTAAACTTTTTAAAGGAAGACAGTGATATTAAAGACTTTCATCATAAAACCCAATGGTAATCAGTAATATGGTTGAGACATTTCTGTGTATGCATTCTTTTTTAATATCTTATAAGATTTATAGTGCAAAAAAATTATTTTGATATGTTTTTAGCATACCCATACCAAGAGACCTCAAGAAGAATACTTATTTCAAAATGAACTCACAGGAAATACTTATCTTTTCTTAGAAATAACTTTTATAAAATAAAAAAATAAGTACCCAGCAGGTGTGGTGTGATTGTCAATGAGACAACTATCCACCAGACACGAAAGGACCAGGATGTAACTATCCACCAGACACAAAAGGACCAGGATGTAACTATCCACCAGACACAAAAGGACCAGGATGTAACAATCCACCAGACACAAAAAGACCAGGATGTAACTGTCCACCAGACACAAAAGGACCAGGATGTTACTATCCAACAGACACAAAAAGACCAGGATGTAACTATCCACCAGACACAAAAGGACCAGGATGTAACTATCCACCAGACACAAAAGGACCAGGATGTAGCTATCCACCAGACACAAAAGGACCAGGATGTAAAGAACTAAAGGTCACTGTACGACCTTCAGTTCTGGATTATCCCATTCTTTAGGTTTAAAAAATGGACAGGAAATTATGTTCCTTTTAATTAGGAATACATTGTTTATGTGTAATTAAATACATTCAGTCTGAACTATTTATGTTAACCGAATATCTACTGGTACTCGGAATCAAAGCATTGAACATTTCCCAGTAGTAGATTACTGGTAATGGTCTTTCTCAGCTATGGAGGAAACTTAGAGACATAATCTTAGAAAGTAGCAGACAAATATTTTACGTAATTTATTTCATTATTTATGTGTGTCAGTATTTTGAAATGTTTAAAGATATATTTTGACATTTTTGGTGGAAGAAGACTTCAAGTCTTCTGAAAGCCTTTACTGCTGGCTGTAAAATCATTGAACCATCACCAGGATGTATGCCGTATCCTTGTCTGTGCTTTACAATTTCATAACAACTTCCGTGCCATATCTTGACACCGATGTTTACACATGTGACATGATCTAATCTGCATCATTTAATTTATTAGTTAGGCTTGAAAAACGGTCACTATCGTTAGTGTTATAATTTCTCATGTTTTAATGTATTAATATCAACCCTTTTATTTTTAATTAAAAGGGATAAAAAACTGAACTATATATATTATAAAATATTAAGAAATTAAGGTTTCAACTCCTCAGGCAAAGTTGACTTTAGATGGATTTGGCTATTTTTTTTATCCTTTTCGGTCATACAGCTCTTCACCTGTTTCAGTTCTTATGTATCCTTGGCTTTAAAATATTAATAGTTAAAAAATGAATATAGACTGTTATTTTTATTTTTTAGCAGATCTTGGTAGGTTTTGTCTATGACAGAACTTTTTGTGAGTTCTTTATACAGTAACACGACAAGTACATGTATTATTTGGAACTTGCAGAAATAAAATGATTATTTTAAATTTTCCAAATGTTGAAGAAATGTCTATGAATAGACCACTTTCGAGTTATGTCCTTCACCGGAAAAGTTAGTCAATTATGCGCGCCTTTATGACTTCATTTACCAGATATAGGGGATCTGTATCCCTGCACTATTAAAGTTCATCAAGGGTCTTTGTGATCGTCATTATGCAGGATAAACTAGAAATACTGTTTGTTCTGTATGTACTTACGGTAATCACAATTCCTTAATGACAGCAGTGCTGATTATCAATCATAAGAATTTAATTTGCCGAATAATTCGAGCATTAAAGCATCATATTTTTTCAACCACTCGCTCAACATGGGAAGGAAGTGACAATGCCCCTAAACGCACGAATGATGTTTACTAAAACCATTTTTTTTGACAGAAATGCAACGAACTCGAAAGTGGTCTATTCTTGAGTCTAGACATGTGCCACTAATGAAGCAGGAAGTTGTTACCCTTGCAGAGCCCCTGTGTTTACCCCTGTACACCCCCATGGGGCTTTTGTAATACAACAGATCTGAATAAGGCAATTTTATAGAACTTGCAAATCATTATTTAGAACTCTGAAGACATTATTTATACTGTATTACTAGCCTGTCAACACTGAGGTTGTGAGTTTGAATCCTGTACTGGGCAGGTGCACTGGACTCCAATCTTAATTGACTAGGAAAGTCAGTTTTCATACCGAATGTCGATGGTTCTGTCCAGGCACTCTGACTTCCTCTACCAATAAAAACTGACCCCCACGAAATAGCACAATAGTGTTGAAAGTGGCATTAAACACCAATCAATCAATCAATCAAGTCATTATTTATACATTCTATTTTATTTGTACCTATGAAAAAGAACTAACATAAACTAGGTTCTATTTTATTGAACAATTTAACTAAAGTAATTGAAATGTAATTGGAAAAGTAATAGATGATTACATCCATTTTTTACTGTATTTAATTAAATTACAATTATGTGTAATAGAAAATTTGGTCAGTTACAGATTACTGTCGATTACTTGCAAAAATGTAATCAATTACAGATTACAATTACCCCATTTCTGATTTGTATTGCTAAATTTTTAGCTAGCCAGTGTTTTGTTGTGTGTTGTTAGTCCTTTTTTGATTTTATCATTTTGGCCATGGTGTTGTCTTATTTTATTAGACATGGTTTTGTCTACCCTTAGTGGAGTAGCCAAGGTCAGACTATAAAGCTTGCTGTTTCCAGTGACAGCATCAACATGTACATGTATTACTTTGTGATTAGGTCAGTTTAAAGGGAACCCCTAGTGGTAGGTCAATGATATTTGGTATGAAGTTTTATAAATATTGTCACATCTCATGAAGATAATTCGGCCTCACCCCCTCAGTCATGGTCTATTGACTTTGAAACTTTTGGTTAGTTTACAAGTATTAGTTTGTGATTAGGTCAGTTTATGGGGAACCACTAGTGGTCAATGATATTTGATATGCAGTTGTATAAGCAATGGCACATTTCATGAAGATAATTTGGCCTCACCCCTTCAGTCATGGTCTATTGACTTTGAAACTTTTGGTTAGTTTACAAGTATTAGCTTTTGATAAGGTCAGTTTAATTGAAACCACTAGTGGTAGGTCAATGATATTTGGTATACAGCTTCATTCCCTAACCTAGGAAAGTGGGGCAGCACAACATAAAAACAAACTGTTAAAAAAAGGTTCATATCTATATGATATTCCCATGATGTATGTAATATTTGCCACTGGAGATAATGCATTCATAATCAATTATATCAACTTTCTTTGTAGGAATGTAACATGCCAGAGAAACCGTATGGAGATATATTTACAATTTGGGTCTGTTCAGAAAGCTTAGGTTTGTATTCCTTTCTCTAAATCTTTGTTGATTAAATTTTAACCTGAAACTTTACGTACCTACAGCTTGCTCAAAACTGCAATTTTGGCAGATTTTGTCAATTTTTTAGCATGTTGAGAAGTACTAGCCAAATTAATAAAAAAAAAAATTTTTTTATTTTTTTAACCAAATTCTATGAATTAAAGCTATGTTTTGTCTTTGATATATAAATTAATTATATCAAGGATATACTTTTCTGCAAATTTATTTACAAGACATGTTAAATCTCAAGTGCCTAATAACATTTAAATTTATGAATATATGTAAATTTACTGTGCATTGGTTAGACTTTTTGATATATCAATTCCAGTAGGTTTAATCAACTTTAGTATTTTCACCATGTTGGTGAAATAAAAGCAGGGGAAATTGGCCCTACATTTTATTGTCAATCTTTTATTTTTCTTAAGGTAGATCAGTAGTCTTATTCTGAGCATCCCTTCTGGGCATGTTGCAAAACTCCTTTTTTGTTAGCTTATGCCATCACTTGGCGTCCGTCGTCGTCCGTCTACTGTCGTCGTCTTCTGTCGTCGTAAACTATTTCAAAAATCTTCTCCTCTGAAACTACTGGGCCAAATACCTTCAAACTTTAACTAAATGTTCCTTAGGGTATCTAGTTTATAAATTGTATCCGAAGTTTTGATCCATTGACAAATATGGCCGCCATGGCTAAAAATAGAACATAGGGGTCATATGCAGTTTTTGGCTTATATCTCAAAAACTAAAGCTTTTAGAGCAAATCTGACATGGGGTGAAATTGTTCAATTGGTCAAGATCTATCAGCTCTGAAATTTTCAGACGAATCCAACAACCCATTGTTGGGTTGCTGCCATCGAATTGGTAGTTTTAACAAAATTTTGCAGTTTTTATACGACCGCAAAAATTGAAAATTTTTTGGTCGTATATTGGTATGACGTTGGCGTCGTCGTCGTTGTCGTCGTCGTCGTCGTCGTCGTCGTCCGGCGTCGTCTGGCGTCGTCCGAAGACACATTGGTTTTCGCACTCTAACTTTAGTTTAAGTGAATGGATCTCCATGAAATTTTACCATAAGGTTCAATACAATGAAAGGAAGGTTGGGATTGATTTTGGGGGTTATGGTACCAACAGTTAAGGAATTAGGGGCCAAAAAGGGGCCAACAATAAGCATTTTTGTAACTTCCAGACAATAACTTGTGTGTAAGTGTATGGATCTCTCTGACATTGTACCACAAGGTTCCATATCACAAAGGGAAGGCTGTAATTGATTTTGGGGGTAATTGCCTCAAAATGTTAGGAATTAGGGGCCAAAAAAGGGGCAAAAAACAAGCATTTTTCTAGTTTCATGACAATAACTTGTGTGTAAGTGTTTGGATATTTCTGAAATTGTACTACAAGGTTCCATATCACAAAGGGAAAGCTGGAATTGAGTTTGGGGGTAATTGCCCGAAACGTTTAGGAATTGGGGGCCAAAAAGGGGCCAAAAATAAGCATTTTTCTAGTTTCCAGACAATAACTTGTGTTCAAGTGTATGGATCTCTCTGAAATTGTACTGCAAGGTACCATACCACAAAGGGAAGGCTGAGATTGAGTTTGGGGGTGATGAATCATAAGGGGGTTCAAAAAATTTTGGGGGGGGGGGATTTTTTTTTTTTTCTTTTTTTTTTCTTTTTTTCCTTTTTTTTTTTCTTTTAAAATTTTCCATTTTAAGTTGGTTATTTCTGATTTATATTTAAAAGCAAATAATAATGATATGGTAGGAGATACACACCAAACAGGATGTGTAAATTATTATATAATAAGTATTGTGCAATAGCAAGAAATTTTCAATTGCACAGTATTGCACAATAGCAAGAAATCTTCAATTGCACAGTATTGCGCAATAGCAAGAAATCTTCAATTGCACAGTATTGCGCAATAGCAAGAAATATCCAATAGCACAATATTGCGCAATAGCAAGAAATTGTCAATTGTACAGTATTGCGCAATAGCAAGAAATAATCAATTGCACAGTATTGTGCAAAAGAAGATACTTCGTATAAATTGCTTATTTCTTGATCAATTTCAATGGGGTTTTATTCTTGAATTCTTGGGGTTCTTTAATATGCTGAATCTAACCGTGTATTAAGTTTTTAGATTTTGGGCCCCGTTTTTAAATTGGTCCACATTGAGGTCCAAAGGGTCCAAAATTTTACTTTGTTTGATTTCATCAAAAATTGAATTATTGGGGTTCTTTGATATGCCGAATCTAACCGTGTATTTAGATTCTTAATTTTTGGTTCTGTTTTCAAATTGGTCTACATAAAGGTCCAAAGGGTCCAAAATTAAACTTAGTTTGATTTCAACAAAAATTGAATATATGGGGTTTTTTGATATGCTGAATCTAACCATGTATTTAGATTTTTGATTATGGGCCCAGTTTTCGAGTTGGTCCAAATCGGGGTCCAAAATTAAACTTTGTTTGATTTCAACAAAAATTGAATATATGGGGTTCTTTGATATGCTGAATCTAACCATGTATTTAGATTTTTGATTATGGGCCCAGTTTTCAAGTTGGTCCAAATCGGGGTCCAAAATTAAACTTTGTTTGATTTCAACAAAAATTGAATATATGGGGTTCTTTGATATGCTGAATCTAACCATGTATTTAGATTTTTGATTGTTGGGCCCCGTTATCAACTTTGTCCACATTGAGATCAAAAGGGTCCAAAATTAAACTTTGTTTGATTTCATCAAAAATTGAATATATGGGGTTCTTTGATATGCTGAATCTAACCATGTATTTAGATTTTTGATTATGGGCCCAGTTTTCGAGTTGGTCCAAATCGGGGTCCAAAATTAAACTTTGTTTGATTTCAACAAAAATTGAATATATGGGGTTCTTTGATATGCTGAATCTAACCATGTATTTAGATTTTTGATTATGGGCCCAGTTTTCAAGTTGGTCCAAATCGGGGTCCAAAATTAAACTTTGTTTGATTTCAACAAAAATTGAATATATGGGGTTCTTTGATATGCTGAATCTAACCATGTATTTAGATTTTTGATTGTTGGGCCCCGTTATCAACTTTGTCCATATTGAGATCAAAAGGGTCCAAAATTAAACTTTGTTTGATTTCATCAAAAATTGAATATATGGGGTTCTTTGATATGCTGAATCTAACCATGTATTTAGATTTTTGATTATGGGCCCAGTTTTCAAGTTGGTCCAAATCGGGGTCCAAAATTAAACTTTGTTTGATTTCAACAAAAATTGAATTCTTAGGGTTCTTTGATATGCTGAATCTAACCATGTATTTAGATTTTTGATTATGGGCCCAGTTTTCAAGTTGGTCCAAATCGGGGTCCAAAATTAAACTTTTTTTGATTTCAACAAAAATGGAATATATGGGGTTCTCTAATATGCTGAATCTAACCGTGTATTAAGTTTTTGGATTTTGGGCCCCGTTTTTAAATTGGTCCACATTGAAGTCCAAAGGGTCCAAAATTTAACTTTGTTTGATTTCATCAAAAATTGAATTATTGGGGTTCTTTGATATGCCGAATCTAACTGTGTATTTAGATTCTTAATTTTTGGTTCCGTTTTCAAATTGGTCTACATAAAGGTCCAAAGGGTCCAAAATTAAACTTAGTTTGATTTTAACAAAAATTGAATTTTTAGGGTTCTTTGATATGCTGAATCTAAACATGTATTTAGATTTTTGATTATGGGCCCAGTTTTCAAGTTGGTCCAAATCGGGGTCCAAAATTAAACTTTGTTTGATTTCAACAAAAATTGAATATATGGGGTTCTTTGATATGCTGAATCTAACCATGTATTTAGATTTTTGATTTTTGGGCCCTGTTATCATTTTTGTCCACATTGAGATCAAAAGGGTCCAAAATTAAACTTTGTTTGATTTCAACAAAAATTGAATTCTTAGGGTTCTTTGATATGCTGAATCTAACCATGTATTTAGATTTTTGATTATGGGCCCAGTTTTCAAGTTGGTCCAAATCGGGGTCCAAAATTAAACTTTGTTTGATTTCAACAAAAATGGAATATATGGGGTTCTCTAATATGCTGAATCTAACCGTGTATTAAGTTTTTGGATTTTGGGCCCCGTTTTTAAATTGGTCCACATTGAAGTCCAAAGGGTCCAAAATTTAACTTTGTTTGATTTCATCAAAAATTGAATTATTGGGGTTCTTTGATATGCCGAATCTAACTGTGTATTTAGATTCTTAATTTTTGGTTCCGTTTTCAAATTGGTCTACATAAAGGTCCAAAGGGTCCAAAATTAAACTTAGTTTGATTTTAACAAAAATTGAATTTTTAGGGTTCTTTGATATGCTGAATCTAAACATGTATTTAGATTTTTGATTATGGGCCCAGTTTTCAAGTTGGTCCAAATCGGGGTCCAAAATTAAACTTTGTTTGATTTCAACAAAAATTGAATATATGGGGTTCTTTGATATGCTGAATCTAACCATGTATTTAGATTTTTGATTTTTGGGCCCTGTTATCATTTTTGTCCACATTGAGATCAAAAGGGTCCAAAATTAAACTTTGTTTGATTTCATCAAAAATTGAATTCTTGGGGTTCTTTGATATGCTGAATCTAACCATGTATTTAGATTTTGGATATTGGACCATAATAGGTGAATGTCCAATTTAAAATTTTTAAGTTCTTAGACCACATTCATTCTGTGTCAGAAACCTATGCTGTGTCAAATATTTAATCACAATCCAAATTCAGAGCTGTATCAAGCTTGAATGTTGTGTCCATACTTGCCCCAACTGTTCAGGGTTCGACCTCTGCGGTCGTATCAAGCTGCGCCCTGCGGAGCATTTTATTTGTTATTATTTTGAATATTATTATAGATATATATAAACTGTAAGCAGCAATAATGTTCAGCAAAGTAAGATCTACAAAAAAGATAATATGACCATAATTGTCAATTGACCCCTTAAGGAGTTATTGCCCTTTAAAGACAATTTTACACAA